CAAAGACAGTTACCATAATACAGACCTTATTTTCCAAAATTTATCATCCATGGGATTTGAACTCTAGACCTGCCACTTGGAGGTTGACAACCTGACCACTTTGCTAGGTCACCACACTCCAGAAATATCATTTTCATGAGCAGATGAAGAAATATTATTTTCATGAACTAACAAAGAAATATTATTTTTGCGAACTGGTAAAGAGATGTTATTTTCGTGAGCTAGTAAAAAGATGTTATTTTTACGAACTGGTAAAGAGATACCATTTCTATGAGCTGATGAAGAAATATTGTTTTCATAAACAGGTAAAGAAATATCATCTCTGTAAATGTTATTGTCACTTTTATTATCTGACAAAGAAACTTGAAATGCAATATCATTATTTTCATGACCTATTTAAGAGGTAGTATCATCTTCATATCTTTAAATAGAATTATATTTTCATATTTTATTTGGAACTGAAGAACTTGTAGCTTGTTGGTTTGGTTTGCATTTTGTGTTCTCTTGAGAGCTGAATTTGTAACTTTATTATTTGGAATGTTAATAAGCAAGATACAGTAATAAGTTAAATAACAATGAAAATAAATAATACTCTAATATAACATACTTATTCGCTTTTTAGTTGTGGTTTCTTTAGGTGCTTTTAATTCTATTATAAAAAATATATTTAAAAAACTATCATTAAACATATAACAATGTTGTTTTCATAGTGCTACTAAAAAAAGTTGTCAAGAAGCTTTAAAAAACTTTAACATACTAATTACTTATTTAGGCATATTGACTTGAAGTTGAATAATGATCTTTTGATACACTTTACTGTTTCTTTATTTATTGACAACATGATCAGACCCCTTTTTATGTATATTGCTATGTAATTACTATTACATAATAGATCCTTAATGCATCTGTCAAAATATATTATTATACTATTTTTGTATATATGTTATTTACATGGTTATCAAAATTAATCAACAATCAGTCATATAGTTTATGCTTGCATATTAATTTTTCCAATAGTAATTTTTTTGACAAGCCATTTAATTGACATCATACTATATAAAAAGTCAGTAACAAAATATAAATGCAACTAATAAATGCTAAATTATAATCATAAATGATGTAGGTTAAGTGGCTTGTCAAGAAATGAATCATCAAAAAGCTGAGCAACATAATTCAAACAAATTATACAATAAACATTGTTTAGAAGTATATAGTTATTTAAAAGTATATTATATACTGAGTATTAGAGCTATTAATAGAGTACACCAAACTATATTAATTATTTAAAAGCATAATTGATTAATGACGTGTATAATGCAAAAAATAATAAATAAATAAAGTAGTTAAAATCAATTAAATGATCTAGTTTCTTCCTGTTATTACCTACTATTATTACTTATTAATACTCGATTAATAGGCAAAAGATATAAATAATATTACTAAATAATGAAATGTTTGAATAGAACCATCCATATATATACATTAATGCCAAAATCATGTATTAAATCAAAAAAAAACAAAATATAAAGAAATAAAAAAAACTTCAGTATTAGATAAATCTTCAGAGCATAGTAATTCAGAATATACTTATTGGTCCTCTGAAGAACATTTAAATAAAGAAACTAAAAGCATATTGGCTACTAGTCATATCTTGTTAAATGAGGTTAGTATATGTTCTAAATACATTATGAAAAAATAAATTAAGTTGCTTATAAAAATAACCAAAAATAGTTATAATTATTACATCAAGATATTAAGAGAATAAATTAAAGTAATATATAATTTTATAGTCTAATTAGTTTTAAAATTTGGATCTTTGTAATTAATTTTATTTTTTAGGCTTTTATCTATAAATTCCTTATTATTTTTCATTAAATATTAATATAAAACTTTAATCATTTAATAAGCTCAGAAAAATGCTTGATCATGAAGGTATCAATAGCTACCATCTTTTGCAGACATCTTCAGCTAATATTATAGAAGTTTCAGTTGATTATGAAGAATTTGATATGGATTCGTTATATAAAATTACTGATAATAAACTATTATCTGAGGCTTCGGTAGATAGTAATAAATCCAACATAAAGGTTTTAACAAATAGTGTAGTAGAAAATATGTCTTCTGATTTTAAAGAGTTTGATGGTAAATATGGATCCTATTTTCCAAACTTTACATCAACGTCAATTTTTACTTAAGTAACAAAGCATATAGTTTGTAAGTTTAGTAAAAATAAATTTATGTATTAAAGGTAGTATTTGGACTCGAATTGACTTGTAACTTAAAAACATAGTCTTAACTTGGTTTTTTAAGCTACCAATCAACTCGAGCCTAAATACTAATTAAAAGGTGTTTTTTAATAAATACAAAAAAAAAAAAAAGGATATTCTATAATATAAGTGGGAAAATAATAATTATTATAAAATAATAATATAAAAACTATCAATTTTAAGTTAATTTAAACTATAAACCTAATCTTAATTCTAACTCTAACCCTAACCCTAATTAAGCTTAAATTAGTTAAAATAGTTAGTTATTTACAGTATATTATAATTTTATAATAATTATATTTGCCCACTTATAGTATAGTTTAACCAAAAAATTTTTAACCATATGTTAATACAAAGCATATATATATAATAACATATAGTGACTTCTGAGTACAAAGACCTTGTCAAGATAATTATACATCCTGAGTTTTGAAAGAAAGATGTTTCTATGAATATTCAGCAGGTTCGGAAATGGAGAAATAAACTACTCTTGGTTGAAATACGTCAACATAATGTGCCTCTCTGTATGAACAAAGCTCTATCCACTTGTGAATATACAAAGAAGGCATTTATTATTTTCTCATTAATACATTTAAAGCATGTTTTAAACAATCCTGTACTTATGCCAAAAATGTATTTTGGTCCTAGTGTAATTACAAATGAAAAATAGGAGTTTTGGCATAGTGAACTATAGCAGGACTCTCTATTATTTGGGAAACATCAAATAAAAAGTGGTAAAGATTAACATTTCATATAATCTTCTTATTTTACTTTTATTTTATTAATTTTTTTTGGTTTTATTAGAGTTCTATAGAGCAGGAGATTTTTTAATGCATTATGAACAATCCTTGATATTTATTTGTTGAGTGCGTAGTGTAATTGTTGATGAAACTAATAAAGATTTACTTAAATTAAAAGTTGATATTATTTTTTCACATGAAAACCTTCCTAGCATTCATTCTACTAATAACTATTATATTTGTAGAAATGGCAAAGAATTATGGCTAAATGAAGGTGAAACAAATTTAGTCAATCCAACAAATGTAGAATAACACATTTAATATTTGGTTATATGATATGCCAGAACCTTCAGAATATGAATTTTATTTTAAAGAAATAGTGTATCATTTCAATGATAAATAGAAGTATTGCAATATAAAAATGTGACATAGACTACCTTGTAAAAATATTACACTTATGCCTTCACCACTACTTCTGCCTATTTTAAAAAGTTTTTTTTGATATCTATATTGATGATTTTGATACTTTCAGAAACGTATATCATTTATTGGGTGGTGTTTATCTTCAGCTTGCCAATTGCTATTGGAACTTCAAAAGCAACTAAAAAATCATTTTTTAATTGGATTTGTTTCATTTGGAGCAAATTTCAATAATTTTATTAAACCGATACTTCAAGAACTAAAATGATTAGAAAATGGTCTTGTTATTAAAACTTTATTTGGTAATGCATGGGTTATAGGTCAGTGTTTTTAAATTTGAATTCTTATTTAAGTATATAACTATGTTATTTTGAAAAATAGTTTCAAATAATATCTGTGCCTGTAAAATAAAATTATTCAAGATGGTCCAAAAAGTGCTAATATAATTTAATGAAGTCTATTAACCTCATTTAATTTTTCAATTTTTTTTGAATTTAAAAAATGAAATTAGACTTAGTTAGAATTTTTGTTTGGCTGTGCCAAAAGTCACGTTACAAGCACTTTTTGTGGTCACTAGAATAATCCTGTAAAACATATAGTTGGTAGCTCTTCACAAAAAACTTTCATCTCTTTGTAATTACTATCCAATTAGATTGACAGATCTAGTATAAACAATCTTTAGGATTAGGATTAAGTCATATTAGGAGAAAAATTTTTGTCTAATATGTAGTAGATCTACAGGCATTGTAAAACATAGCGAATTTACAAATATGGATTTAAAAGATTTGAATTTTGTTTTGAAATAGAGCATATAAATGTTTTGTGTATGAATACTATTTTATGATTACATTATATCAAAATCATATATTAGTTAACTTTGCAGTCTAACATTTTTATAAACACACTATCGAGATCATAGAAACTTTTTAGAAAGGTGCTTATAGAATCTGTGTTTATATAGAAGCTGATTTATATATGCTTATAATAGTTGGTTTTAAAATAAATGTACTTATATAGAGAATTTTACATAACATAATTATATAAGGAAGTTCTATTGTATATTTAAAAAGTTACTTACTGGTTCTTTATTAATACTATTAGATGAAATTGGCTGCATCACATCTAATCTGCCATAAGAAAATGATTTAGCTAATATTAAGTGACATAGTGCCAACCACAGCTGTTATATATGTAATGTGCAAAATGATCAGTATACTAATTTTAATTATAATTATGTACAAAATGCTCGTTTTTACCAGCAGACAGAAGAATGATTCATAGAGATTGAGGGCCAAAATTCCAAAGCAGATAAGGAATGACTAGCAGTAGAGTATAGATTGGTTAAGTTGGGACCATTAAGGATACTTAAATGGGACTGGCATACTCAAACACCACAAGATGCATATCATTTCTTTGCTAGAAAAGCATGTAACCTTATCGAGACTACATTTAATATGTTTAATTTAAATAGTGAAAATGCTTTTTAAAACATTGAAAAGATATAGAGAAACCTACCAATTGGTATCGAATGCCTAATTCCTTATGATACTGTCAAAGTTTCATGTTCTCTGATATGTTGAGACTTGTGATGCTAATGCTATTTATACTTCGAAGATTTTTAAAGCCTAATCATGTCAAGACAGAGATTAAGAATAATTGGAGAGTAAGACAAATATCTAGTGTATCAAAATTATGCACTTGCTGGGCAATTGAAGCCAAAGTATTAAAACTTGCATTTTCACTTTCTATAACAACAAATAGTTATCAAGAATTGCAAGAATTACTTAAAAAAAAATACAAAATCTTGTTAGAAGTAAGTAATCAAAGTTTAATGTTAATCAATTTAAATACTCTAAATTTGAATATGTTCAGAAAAAATGTTAATTTCAAAGTATTTTATATCTGAAAATGCATATACTTACATTGGTTATAAGAAGACTTTTATATAATTAGCTGTTTAAATTAATTTAATTTTACATTATTTATACAGTTTGAAGTACTTTTTTAAAAAAAATAAAACCATAAAGAATAAGTTAAAAAAAAAGTTTTATTAGAATTGTAGGACTTTACAATTAAAAATAATCAAAATCCTATTTTGTTTTAATCTATTTTTAAGAAGTCATTGTTATGCTAATTTCTCTAAAACAAAATAGAATTTTAATTATTTTTAATAGTTGAGTCCTACAACCCTAATAAACCTTTTTAATTATTTTCAATAGTTGAGTCCTACAACCCTAATAAACCTTTCTATATACTTCTTTTTTACTTATTCTTTGTAGTTTTATTTTTTTAAAAAAAGTACTTTAAACTGTATAAATAAAGTAAAATTAAATTGATTTAAACAGCCAATTATATGAAAGTTTTTTTATAAGTACACTGGTGATAGAATTTATTTTTAAATTTTACCACCAATTATTTAGGTATTAACAAGTATTATATTTGTTCAATCAGACTTACACATTTTTAATTAATATAACTTATATATTATGTAATATACATATTAATTTTTATTGTATATCGATATTAGCTGTTTCCAAATAACTTTATCAATTTACCAAATTTGCATGTGAATGTACATCTTTCACAGCATGCCCAGAATTTTGTCACACTAGTAAACATGTCTGTTGCCATAAAAGAAATGGTTTACTGAATGTTTAAAAATATGATACCTTATATGAACTGTAAGGCAATTGAACTTGACCTTACGCAGTGGTACAATACAATACAAACATTACAGCATCTTGCTAATGGTTGAATAGATCCTCAATTTAATACAAGAACAAATGTGATAAATAATCTTGCAAGGGATCCAAGTCTTTATACAATATTGTCAGATTGGTATATTACAGAAAATCTGTCTGCTTATACAAACAATCAAAGTATTGAAAATAGAAGTGATAGTAAGCATTTGAATTTATTAGTAACAAAATTATAAATAACAGACCTTGATATAATCATTGAGTTGGTAATCAAAATTCAATGTGACTAACGCGATAATGTCTATACGGATGTTAATTTTTCTTATGTTTATAATGATTTGGTAAAATAAAATAGAATTTTTTTTTATTAAATTGTGATTATATCAAGTTGATGAGATTTGATTGTATTTGAATATTTGTTAATTAATTATTTTTTATAGGTAATACTGTAGTATGCCATGATAAAAACTTCATTGATATTTCATTTAGTGGTAAATAAAATAATAGTAAAGTTAAAAGTGTAGGTCTATCAAAGAGTTTAGACACTAAGCATCTATTCTTCCAAGATCTATATAAAGTGTATAATAATTACTTAAATTCAAAGGCTGCACTAATAAACAAAAAATTAGAATTTTATAATTCAATCATATATACTGTCCTTGAAGATAACCAAGATCCAGTTTGGGTGAAGCTTAAAATTAGTGATTTCATGAAGCTACTTGAAGAGACTAAAGGCATTGCATATGCTAAAATTGAGTTTATTTTTCAGTATCAAGCAAATAATGATCAATACTACATATTTTTTTTATTTAATTGGTTTCAAGCAACAAACAATCTTAACAATATATTAGGATGCCCGATTTATTATATTCAAAAGCCTGAAGAGTTATGTTGGACCAAAATCTTTACAATTAATTTTATTGATCATGTTCCTTGTATACATTTTATATATAATTGTACAAATACATGTACAATGAGACATAATGAAACCAATTAAAGTTATATTTTAAATAAATTTTATTATAATGCAATATAATTAAAATATATAGTGCAAAAATTATATATATATATATATTTTTTAGCTTTTAAGTTAGGTTCAATTATTTTATATATATTACTATTATATATATATAATAAAAACCAATTTTTTTTAATAAGGTGAAGAGGTATTTCAGTAGAAGTGAGTAATTGAAAATTAATGCTTCTTATACCATTTGATTTGTCTTATCAAGACAAATCAAATAGTGTAAAAAACCTTCGATTCTTATTGAATTTAACCAAATATCTGATAATTATCTGAATAAAAATTAATGGATTGGAACTTTACTGTCTATCTGTCAATCTACCACTTTACCTTTTAAGAATTAAAACTATTTAGACCAAGAGCTAGTAAAAGTTATACAATAATAAATTATTTATGCTTTTTCCTTTACTAAGGTTTTCTTAAAAACAAGAATTATAAGATAGTAAAATAAAATTTGCAATTAGCAATATTTTTAATAAAGTTTTATTATTAGTGAATTTTGATAAATTTTAATTTCACTGAAATTGCCTTATTAATAGTAAAATTTTTGTGAATCATGTGCTAAGTAGTAATTGGTCAGTTTCTGTGATCTATAAATACTAAAATAGTAAAATAAATGTTATTCTAACTTCGTATTTTTGTGCTTATTGATTTTATTATGTTTGATTTTTTTGAAATTACTATTTTTATTCTAACTTTGGAATTCACATTTTTGTGTTTATTGATCTTTTCATTAATATTTATTTGTGCTTATTGTGTTTTATTTTTTGAAATCACTATTCTTTATTCTGACTTTACTTTTTACAGTAACAATACCAGTTCTATTCTGATAACAACATTCAAGAGTATGTATTCTATCAGTAATTTCTATTTTAGTGACTTTATCCTTTTCAATTTATTTACTATTTTTGAAGTATATAGTAAAGTAATATGGTACGAAAATGCAAATTAGAGTAGAAATTAAGATAGTACATATGGTTTGTAAAAGAAAAAATTCATCAACTATGTTACTTTAACTACTAATCTCAAACATGCAAAGAACAATACTAGGACAATACCATATTTACTTTAATCCTAACTATTAAAAATGATTGTTTATAAAAATTAAATTTTACAAACTTATATTAACAATACATACTATCAAAATTTAGTATATCCATCTGAACCTGTACTGGTATACAGTACTACTTTACTAAATACCTCTATTTTTATAACAAGTTTCAAGATTACATATGATTACACATTTCTTCAACATAACTCATATTGGTAGATTTTTGACTTCAATGTTATTGTAATAACAATTATTAGGATCGTATATTTTATTAGCATGATCTATTTTTGCTAATTAATGAATGTTTATATTCATCTTTTCCAACAATGTTTCTCTTTTGATAGCAATACCAGAGAGTGCTGATTATTATATTATGACCCACCTTAGCTGATCTGTTATAATAGATGAATGTTTTATGTTATACTAATTTCAATATAACACTAATATTTAAAATTCTTTGTTTTATTAGCATACTACATTTCTACTGATTTCTGATAATAAATATTGAATGTTTATCTTTTTTCAAAGATGATTTTGTATTAATTATAATCTCAAATACATGGTTAGTGAAAACCTGTAAATCAATTTACTATACTGGACTTGGCATCTAAAAAATTCAATCTTACATAGTATGTAATTTCAGTACCATATTTATTAATTAATATACTATTATGCTAATGCTAAGATTTTTTAAGGTCAAGTCTGATATGATGGATTAATTTACAAGTTTTTACTAATTATTACTCATGTATCACTAACATGATTCATCTTTATAGGCACTTAATGAGTAATAGGTGTTTTATGTTCATCCTTATCCTTAACATTATCTTAATAGTCAATTTCATTTCTCACAACCAACAGTTACTAATCAATCTTGACTTCTAAATAATCTTATTAAAGCTTGGCAACTTCAATAAATTGATAAAACATATATATTTATTATTTATGAGCCTTTTTAAATTTATTGTCTTTGGGGTTTTATTACATTTATTCTAACTAAGATTCATTTTTCATTTCAGTTTTAATTCTTTCAATTTATTTTCTTGCATTTTATTAATATTAGTTTTTTTTTGTAATTTTAATATTATTCTTTTGTTTAATAATGTATATTATTTATATTTTAATAATATTATTTATTATATATATGTAAAGATTGGATCTGTTTAAAAATTGCTCCATAGCTCCAGCCAAATTATGTTGGTTGTGGGCTAGAATTATTCTAATACTGACCAAATTAAATGATTAAATGATTAATCCTTATATGTATAGCATTTTAAATATATTTTTAATATATAATAAAAATATTATTAATATATTATAATTTTAATATAGTTATTATATGTTTATTATATTTTTTAA